AAATATATATATTTACAGATTTTTTTTCGCACCAGTTTTTTGTTATTCTGATGTTCACGAATACAAGATTGTGCATTATACTCTTACCTTGGAGCTCTCGTCTTGGGAACGCTGGTAGCGTTTCCAGCGGCAACCATAGATCCCAGTAACCAAAGACAGAAAGACCTGCTTCTCATAGACCTGTAACGGTTGGTGTTTCACCATGCTCCTTCAGCCTCAACGCGCCACCAGTCTGTTAACATCCCACTCAGAGCTGGGAACCCTGAAGAAGGCAAGAAGGTTTTAGTGAAGCCTTCAAAAACATCCTTGTTGCTCAACAACTAATTACACTTTCCCCTAGATGCCGTGTCATGTCTTGTTGCTGAGATATGGACACCTTTTTGACCCAACAATGTAAATATGTTTACATAGTTTAGCCTTGTTTGGTGTGACGACACTTCTAATAATAAATCAACAAGCTACTTACTGGTGACTCTTGTCTAGGACAGACATAATGATATGGTTTGTGTTTAGCCAACACTGAGTCAGCCTAAGGCAATCTGCAGACCGAAAAACACAGAAATCAGCAGGTTGGCAATCAAAAGAAGAAAGTTCACTGGGTTCATGACAGCTGCCTTTATATTTACTGGTTTCTGAATTATTTTGGGCATATATGTATAGTAATATTGGTCCTGAGCCACTCTATAGAAGAGCAAGAGATCTCTGAACTCTTCTCAGAATTATGCAGAGTGTTCTTAAAAAGAAAATGGGGTTTTCAGGGTTTAAACATTATGTTAATGTGTAAGTTTGACATCTCCTTTCATTCGGACTAAACCTGTTTATGATTTCCAGACAGATTAATCAGCTTAAATAGTCTGATTTATATTGGCTTAATTCAAAAACAAGCCGCTAAAGACACAGAGGTGTATAATATGTTTAATCTCATTTAATCCAAACTCAGCTTAGATCAATCCAATTCAATCATACAGATTTTATCCCATTCATCTGGACTCTTTCACAAATATAACACCACGTTGTCAGTTTTAAATGATCGTTTAATGTTAAGTATTAAACCATTTTCTATCCCCCATAAGACTCACCAATTGAATTTAGTTTTTAACATTGCAGCAATACCTGAACCTGAGGAATTATTTTTTTTTCTGATTGTCAGATAGTCAGTCTTTGGTGTGAATGTGGATTTATTTTATTTTTACAAGATGGTGGCAGCTTTATTTTAGAAACATGTAATCCAAAAAGAGAGAAAGAAAGAAAGAAAGAAAGAAAGAAAGAAAGAAAGAAAGAAAGAAAGAAAGAAAGAAAGAAAGAAAGAAAGACAGTTTTTATTACTTTTCATTTTAATAATCTCCAGCTAAACATTTCCTAAATAAATAAAAAAAGTTTTCTCTCTAAAAATCTATCAGAATTCATCAAGCCACTGACTTGCAGCAATTTCTTATCCTTAAAGAGCACAAACGGCAGAAACTCCTTTAGTCGCTTCATCTAGAAGAGAAATACCAAAATATCTCAGCCATCATGGAAGTCTGTTTCATCATATATATAAGGAACGCAGTAGAGACTGACTGATACTGGAGTTTTTAGGCAGTACTGTTTATTTTAATATCAGTCTAACAGATATGCAATTCCAATCTTTTGGGGCAATTTTTGGAGTTGATATTGCTTTCTCATCTTCATTTACATGATAAAACGAATCCATAACACATTCTACACATGTCCAGATTTAAACAACAACAAAAGATATTACTTGACGGATGATAGAAAACATTAGCAATGGATGGAGCAGCAAAAAAAAAGATCTGCCCCTTAATGTATTATTCTACCTCTAGAACAAACCCATAAATAGCTTGTGATTTTCATTATTGTAACTGAGTGAACACAAATAAAACTTCTATCTGCCCTTTTATTATCAATTTCCTTTTTTTGAAATCTACTTTAAAGATAAGACAATTGATAGTTTTCTTTAATCAAAATATGAGAAGGGCTTTTTGATGTACGAAATGAATCTAATCTCTAATCTCGCACAAAATCTAGATTTTCCTCATCGATATTGTTGAAAATCTGCTGGAACAGGTAACCAATTCCTTTCCTGATATGGGCCAATTTCCAGGTTTACCAACAAGCTTTAAACACCAAAATGCTCCTTTGTTCTTATCTCCTAATGGGACAGTCAAGCTAAATCTGTCTCTGACTGACTTATTGGACTCCTTCATGTCTCCTTCTCTAGAGAAGATGTTGCCGTGTTTACATCCCTGTTGCCAGCATGGGCCCTAAGAAGAATTCAGTCAAAACAAGGCTTTGTTTTTGGTCAACTCTATAAAGATTCAAACTCAATGCTATTTCTGACTCTGATTCCGAATTAAAAATCGCTTCCTGGATGGGAAGCAAAACGTTTTCAAACTTGGAAACAAAGTCCAAACTTTTTTGAAATGACTGTGACCTGGATGACTGACAGTCCTCACCAGCATATTACATCAATACAGAAGGGAAAACTTGGTGTGTTGACAAAACCTTAAAGTATAAAATAGTAGAAAACATGACCAGAGGGACTAAAGATGCATTTGAGTGTTTAACAGTTGAAATAATATTTGTGGACAAGTCAAAAAATGTAATTGTTAGTTGTACTGTATATACAGAGCTCCTGGTTCCAACATGGAAATATTTAGAGAATGGTTTGAACCAACACAATTACTGCTTCTCATAGACCTGTAACCCACAGATGAAGGTCTTCTTCATCTGTCGGGACTTTAATATATATCTACTTAACTCAAATAATTATAAACCTATACTAAATAATTCATTAATACCACGTACAGTTTGAGCCTTTTCCCCAAAATCACTAAACCCAACAGGATCCTACTTAACAGTGCCCCATTAATAGATTGTATACTCACAAAAATCTTACTTATATGTTCTATATAAAAATAAGGATAAAAGTAATCCACACTTTAAAAGAGTAACAGCAGGGGAATAACTCAAATCTTTCAAAGAGGACTTATTAAAACATAACTGGGAGTCTGTTTTGCAAGAAGAAAATGCTGATATAGCATATGATAATTTTCTGAATATCTTTAAAGTATTATATGATTAATAATATTCTCTAATAAAAACAAATACTCTGAAGCTATATGGATTACAAAGGGTTTATAAAAATGCCTGCAAAAGAAGAGAAAAAACTATACAGAATTCCTAAGGCATAGGTCTTTGGAGGTAGAGAACACATTTCCTGCTATTCTGCGAATAGTTAAACAGGATTATTACAGTAAATTATTGGATAGAAATAAAGATAATATCAAAGGGATTTATAATGTATTGAATAATTTTATCAAGAAAAACCCTGGAAAATAAAATGTCTGCAGTTTTTTGTAAATAACAATAACAACTTTGAGAATATTAATGACGTTGTTCATAATCTCAGTAAATATTTTGTGAGTGTGGGACCCAAACTGCCAGAAAAACTCCTAGTTCCTATAACAACTGGAGCTCTGAATGAAACATTAATCAGCAGAAATCCTTATTCAATGTTTCTCATTGCTGTGAGAGAAAGGGAAGTTACAGATATTGTCAATAAATTTAATAACAACATATCAACTTTGCTGTGATGACATTGATATGACAGGTATTAAGATAACATTTCTGTCAGGTAAATTTCCAGAAAAAGACTAAAATTGCTAAAGTTATTACCCATTATATATCTCGAGACACCATTTCACAAATATAGGCCTGTTTCTCTAATTCCACAGTTTTCCAAAATTTTGGAAAAATTATTTGTGGATAGATTAGATTAATTAATGAATAAACAGAAACTGCTTTAAGAAAGTCAGTATGGATTTAGATCAAAAAGATATACAGCAACGGCCGTCATTGAATTGATAGAAGTCACTTAACTGACTTAGGTGAGTCACTTAGATAAGAAGAGATCTGCAGTTGGTATATCTATTGATCACAAGAAAGCTTTTTACAAAATAAATCACAAAATATTAATAATAAAAATTAGATCATTATGGCATCCAGGGAGTAATACTACTCTGGATGAAATATTATCTATGCAACAGGCAACAATTTGCTCAAATGGGTGACTGCCAGTCACCGTGCTCGTAAATTGTTTGTGGTGTCCCCCAGGGGTCAGTATTGGGGCCAAAATGATTTATTCTTTATCTTAATGACATCAGCAAAGTTTCTAGAATACCTAAATTTGTTTTGTTTGCAGACATTACTAACATCATTTGTACAGGTGATAATTTGGATCAGCTTATGGCTGATATCAATCTTGAGTTATGTCGAGTTAAGACAAGTTTGATATTAACAAACTATCATTATCAGGCTGGCAGCGGTGACTTCACACCTGATGAAGACCCTCAAACAGTTGGCCTTACACCATCTACACACCCTGGTGAAGACTAGATCCCCTGCAGTTTGCCTACCATTCTTTGGATTGGAGCAGATGATGCCATTATCTTCCTCATGCATAAAGCTCTGACTCACCTAGAGAAACCTGGAAACACTGTGAGGATAAATGTTCTTTGATTTCTCCAGTGAGTTCAACACCATCCAGCCAGGACTTCCACAGAGAACAGTCATGCACCATTCCTCTACACTGCAGACCTCCTTATCAATTCCCATCTCTGACACTTCTAGAAGTTCTCTGACGATTCTGCCATAGTTGGCCTCATCACAAGTAGCGAAGACTCAGAATTCAGACAGGGGACCCAGAAATTTGTGGTCTGGTGCCAGCAGACCCACGTCCTGATTAATGCAGGGAAAACCAAGCAGCTAGTGGTGCAGAAGCAGATCCACCCCACTGACACCGTTGAACATAGTGGACTCTTATAAGTACCTTGGTGTTCATCTGAATAGCAAACTGGACTGGACTCACAACACTGAGCCACTGTATAAGAAAGCAGAGCAGACTCTTCCTGCTGAGGAGACTGAGGTCTTTTGGAGTGCAGGGGGTGCTTCTATAGACCTTCTATGACTCTGTTGTTGCATCAGCCATCTATGGAGCTGTCTGTTCGAGCGGTGGTTTATCTGTAGCTGAGAGAAAGCGACTGTATAAGCTGATCAGGAAGGCCAGCTCTGTGAATGGATGCCCTCTGGACTCAGTGCAAAAGGTGAGAAACAAAAGGATCTTAACTAAATTAATATCTCTGTTGGATGTTTCCCACCCCATGCATGAAGCTGTTTCAGAACTGGAGAGCTCCTTAAGTGACAGACTGCTGCACCTTAAATGCACCAGGGAGCGTTATCACAGATCCTTCCTCCCAGCAGCTGTAAGACTCTATAACCACACTCTGTTCCCAACAACCTCAATAAGTTGTTACATTCATGCTGTGTTGCAAAGATTCTCTTATTCTGTTAAATAACATGCTGCTGTCATTTTGCACAATTCTGATATTGCTGCTATTTTCAAATATCTATTGCTGTAAATATCTAGCTAGCTGTATATTGGTTATTTACTCTCCAGGTGCACAGTTTTTACATTGTTAAAAAAAACTTTTCACTTTTAGCTCTATATTATAATTGTATTCTTATACATTTATCTAAGGTCCTTAATTGGGTGACCATTTTTTTCCATATAATCTTTTTGTTGTTGTAAACACCAGAATTTCCCCTTCGCTGGCAATAAAGATATTTTCTTTTCTATTCTAAATTTGGATAAAACTAAGTTTATGTTGTCTGAAAACCTCAAAAGTAAAACAAATGTATGTATACTAATAGGTAATGTAACAGTAAACATTTTATAGTCAATATCCTTTTTTCATAATTAGTTTTAAAGTAAAAAAATAAAATAACCAAATTATATCTAAGTTGTATCTGGTAAGTTGTTATGAATATAAGTAATTGTATCAGATGTGCAGATGATGTTGCATCATATCGATCATAGACTTATCAATTAAATGTAAATCGGATTGTGAAAGACCTTTTGATGTTTGCAAACATCTTATCATCATCGTAACAAATTGATAAAATTTTCTTATCTTGCTAAATCGGTTTATTTACACCCATATTCTTCATTTAATAGTTGCTTATTAAATTATGTTTTATAAAGAAAACTGTCATCTGATTAGATGGAGAAGTTAATACACATCAGAATAATATCATTTTACAAAAGAAGAGCAGATAAATAAAATTACAAACCTTTCCAAAGCTTCAGCTCTATAATTCATAATGTCTCAATGAAAATGACAATTAAAACTTAGATAAACACCAGATAAACTCATCTTTTGGATTCTGGATTTATGATCTGTTCAGGTCCTGCTGCAGTAGAGCATCCCAAAACCATTTCACTTCCAATGTTCTCCAAACATTGAGCTAATATTCAAAAGATGTCCAGGTGTCTCACTTATAAAAAAAAATGCTTAGTATTTATAGTAAAACTGTCTGTACTCGCTCTCAATCTGCAGGTTTACTAATGGTACCTATAATTTCTAAAAGTAGAATGGGAGGCAGATCTTTTAGTTATCAGGCTCTTCCGCTGTGGAACCAATAACAGTTTCAGTCCGTGAGGCAGACACCCTGTCTACTTTTAAGGGTAGATCTAAAACTTTCCTTTTTGATAAAGCTTATAGTTAGAGCGGCTCAGGTTATCCAGTACTATCTCTATAGTTATGCTGCTATAGGCTTAGACTGCCGGAGGACATAGGGACCCCTTTTCCATCTGGTCTGTTCCTGTTTGGCTGTAACTCCTTCCTGTAGAGAAATATCAACTGTGCTGCTGCCATCAACACCTTTGTTTCTATATGTTGGCGTTCGGCCTGTTTTTCAGTGTAGTCCTGTTTCTCTGACTGCGACTAACTGAATGTGCTCTCTTTCATCCTGTGAAAGTGAGCAACAAGGTGTGCTCGCTTTGGTGTTGGAGTCATTGCTTTCTTGCAGCAGGTATTAATAATAACTACTGCTTAAGCTGGACAAGACTGCTTTTCATTAGTGACTCTATATCTACACAAAGGAAACAGTGGGAGCCTTCAAGCAGGAAACAAAGGCAATGAGATTACCAGCTGCCAAGGTGATCATATGCTCACAGGACAAGAGAAAACCTTTCCAAGTTAAGGTGCAGGTTTGCATGCAATGAATCCTACCACCAAAGCAGCTCATGTGCAGCCAGAGACTCAGACAAATACAGGCTTTGATGATAATGTCATTCTTGCAATACTGGTTGATAATGTCTTCAAATAAAGTTTGCAGTTAGTATTTGTTGAGCAAAGGAAATAATTTAAATGGATTATCTTCCACAGACCTGCTGGTAGAAGACAACACACTGCAAATCTTTAACAATGAATTAAAACGGGTTTCTACAAACAGTAAATGTAGAGAAAGGATGAGTTAAAAAAAAGGTTGCCTCAGGTCACCTGGTAATATTGAAACTGATAAACTTTAAAGTGTGAGTTCTGCATTTAGTTACTTTGGTTTATCTGATGGATAAGTTTTCACCTTCTGTCCCTCTCCTTTTTAATTTATTTTTTATTTTTTTCTAAGGTAGCTGTTTGTTCATAAAAAGGCAAAATTAACTGGTTTCTACACCACATGTTAAATTAAGTCAACAGTTATTACTGCAGATTAACAATCTTGCTTGGACAATATATGAATTACACTAAGGCTGTGTTTAATATTATAATTATAACTTAAGAAACAAAGTTAAACTGCAGGAGGACATATCAGTCAACCTAAGCTCAGAATGATCCCTCTCCAGGCCAAGGCACAGATTATATGAAGATAATCCAATAAAGTGCGCACAAACACTCACCTTGTCTCCTTCAGCTCTTTGGGGCTGAACAACTAGAAACTCTGCATTTATTCCCAAAGACCTTTACATCTCTCTCCGCACACAAAAGATCAGAAAGGAGGATGGAGCAGAACCAGCGGTCCAGATATGTCTTCAGAACAACCGGCAGAACCAGAACCTGTTGCTGTGCAGCAGGAGTTACCAAAGTGGACTCCCTACCTGAGCTTGCATGGTTGGGCTGCGTTTATAATCCGTGTGTGACATGGTGTGGGAGGAGTTCAGAATTACACTGTAAAAAGAAGCTCCCAGCCTCAGCATAGACTGAAGGACAGAGGCTCTCCACCCAGGNTTTTATTTTTTTCTAAGGTAGCTGTTTGTTCATAAAAAGGCAAAATTAACTGGTTTCTACACCACATGTTAAATTAAGTCAACAGTTATTACTGCAGATTAACAATCTTGCTTGGACAATATATGAATTACACTAAGGCTGTGTTTAATATTATAATTATAACTTAAGAAACAAAGTTAAACTGCAGGAGGACATATCAGTCAACCTAAGCTCAGAATGATCCCTCTCCAGGCCAAGGCACAGATTATATGAAGATAATCCAATAAAGTGCGCACAAACACTCACCTTGTCTCCTTCAGCTCTTTGGGGCTGAACAACTAGAAACTCTGCATTTATTCCCAAAGACCTTTACATCTCTCTCCGCACACAAAAGATCAGAAAGGAGGATGGAGCAGAACCAGCGGTCCAGATATGTCTTCAGAACAACCGGCAGAACCAGAACCTGTTGCTGTGCAGCAGGAGTTACCAAAGTGGACTCCCTACCTGAGCTTGCATGGTTGGGCTGCGTTTATAATCCGTGTGTGACATGGTGTGGGAGGAGTTCAGAATTACACTGTAAAAAGAAGCTCCCAGCCTCAGCATAGACTGAAGGACAGAGGCTCTCCACCCAGGCCGGCATTACTATTGGACAAATGTTAGAACTGAGAGTAAAATGGAGAAAAATATGCAGTATAGCAATGCATGATATATCAGCATTTATATAATTTCTATAAGTTAAACTGGCTGCATATGAATAAGGATTAGAACAAGCAATATTTCATGTAGTTGTTATTTTTGATTTATAATGGGAAGGAGATCAGTTATGTGGTATTTGGTCATGTGACAGTTATGGAGATGAAGTTTAGGATTATGGGGGTTGAAATATCAGTAGTCTGTTTGGTTTTCATGGTGACGAAGGGTAAGGGAATTTAAAATATTTGGTATATATTATTTCATTTGAATTGGAAATGCAACGCAGTGCAATGCAAAAATTTATGAATAACTTATTTTATGGAGCAGGGATTCTTGGATCCTTTCATCCATCCATCCATTTTCTTCCACCTTATACGGTGCCGGGTCGCAGAGGCAGCAATCTATCTGACTGGACAAAAAACTGCCCTTCTGAAATGGTTTTTGTTTTTATTATTTTTTAAGTCTTTGGCCCAGAATATTATTTATGAATTTAAAATTCTATCAAACCCAAAGTCTATATTGTTGTAATTTTGCTCCATAAGACTTGTAGCTCCGCCTCCATTCATGATGCCCTGGTGAAGGGCCAGCTAACCGTTCAGGTAACTGACCTGAAAATACGTAAAATATTCTAAAAAAAACTATTTTCCCAGATCTAAACAGGAGAATAAAATGATCCATCAGTGGAATGAGAGTTTTTAAACCTTAAAATAAGATTATTATATATGATGCATTTGAAATTAAATGGTGTGGGTATGGTGGACTAGAATGCTACTCTAGCTCCCTGAGCAAAGACCCTTAACCCCACACTTCTCTCCAGGTACAGCACAATGGCAGTCCACTCCTCCCCAAGGGGATAGGTTAAATGCAGAGGTTGAATTTCACCAGTGTGAGACAATAAAAGGATTTACATGAAAATTTTGTAAATCTTGAATCATATGCAAATTGTCAAATATACCCAATAAATTTAAAGATATTCTGGATTCTTCTGCTTTATATTGGTGGATTTGAAATGGTTATTTATTCAAGTGACACCAACTCAATTCTGTTCAGTTTATTTCTATAGCGCCAATTTACATCATGTCATTTCAGATCTTTTTAAGGAGACAATTCAACCAGATCATCCAGTCAGATTTATTCAAAGTTTTGCTGATGAAGGTTCTCAGTCATCCAGGTCATAGTCATTCCGTAAAAATTCAAAAAATATCCAC